TTAATGTTACTATAGCATTAATAAAGGGGTGGCAATAGCATTTTGTTGCCGGACCGGAAAAATCCCGCACAAGCAAATTTGCTGTCTAACAAGCTTTGAGCCCAACAAGGTCTACTTAGGTCCAAATCGCAATAATAAAGGGGTGGCAATAATATTATTGTCCGGCCGGAAACGTGCCGATTTTAGTCGATTCCCTTCTACTTGTCCTACTAGGCTGCTGCAGTACCTGGTCCTACCCATGCCCCGTCATTTATTATTGCGAACCCCCCCTTCCGTAAGCCCGGATCGCAAGACAAGTTCTGGGGGGGGGGGGGGTCAGTTTATTATTGTCACGGTAACATTAAACCCAAAACCCCAAAAACGCTTAAACCTTAAACCCCAAAAACCCTAAACCGAAAACTCTGAGCTTCCTCTGCTTCATTTCGCGCGAGACGCGGCTCTCCAGCTCCGCGTGGCCTTGAACGGGTTTAGGGTTTAGGAAGTAGGGTTGTGGATTTAGGGATTAGGGTTTATGGATTAGGGCTTTGGGTTTAGGGTTTAGGGATTAGGGTTTGGGGCTGGGAAAGGTTGAGGGTTTTGGATCTGGACTTTTTGTGACTTAGGGTTTTAGGGTTTCTTGTTTAGGGTCTCGGCAAGGCTGCGCACCCAGGAGGTCGGGGAAACCATAGAACAACCTACTCGTACCAGAAGCTCGAAGCCGACTTCACTGCAGTCTTCTGACTCTAAAAAACTTGAACGGTATAGTAGCCTCAGAAGCGTAAACCTTAATCTCAAAACCTTAAACCCATCACCCGAACGCGGAGCCCGAACCTCCCCAACTACAAAACCCCAAAAGTTGACTTTAACAATACTGAGATTAATGACAATGAGTATCATCCATAATAATCATAATACTAATACTGCTAACAATAATACCCCAGACCATAAACCCAAAACCCTGATAAGAATAAGAACAATAGTCATAATGCAGTCAATAACAATCAATAACTCAGGGGACACCGCACCCTGTGAGAGCGGTTTAATAGGAACATAAGAGGGCCCTAATATAATCACCATTATCCCTGATAGTCACTATTACTGGGTGGGGGTCCACCTAACCCTAAACCCCCCTCAACCCTAAACCCTAAACCCTAAACCCAAAACCCAATACGATCAATAGCAAAAACAACAATGAAGGTGAGCATGGCCTGCTGCCTCGGAGGCACAGCTGTCTCTCAGCTCCTTCAGCTCTGACATACGGTGGATGGAGGGTTTAGGGTTCAAGGTTTAGGGTCAGGGTTAAGGGTTTAGGGTTAAGGGTGTAGGGCTTAGGGTGAATGGAGGAAATCTTGCTATTGCTGTGTTAGGTGGTGCAAGATGTCTTCCATCCACAGACGCAGTGTCCCCAAACAAGTTTTACGGATTAGGGCTGCGGATTTGGAGTTAAAGAGAAAAAGGATTTTAGGGATTCGGGATGAAAATTTAGAGTTTAGGG